GGCTGCTCTATCCTTTGTTCATTGGGTCATGGGCGGTCGGGACGCCGGGGGCCCGCCGAGCCTCAACAAGCGCACCACCAGCTCAAGTCCTTTCGACCCAATCCCCGCATCTCGTCCGCCTTTCTCGCCGCCGACATTATCCTCTCGCTCCTTTTCATCCTTCTCGTCGTCCTCGTCCACGTCCGCCCCTGTATCGCCGGCCGAAAAGAGGAGACGCGCATGGTCGATCTCCGACGGCGAGAGCAGCAGGGGAGGCGAAGACAACGGACTGCCGCCAATCACCGGCGAAGTGCTCCTCGACGGGGACTGCAGGTGTTGGTTGAGCAGGACAGAGGCCAAGCGATGCAGATTGGTGGAAGCAGGGTCCTCCAAGTCACTCATTTCCTCCTCCTGCGGCAGAAGCTCCTCCGTGTCTTCCTCTTGACCGACCGATATCCCGTCCGCGGTCCCCGCCGCTGTCGCTGCGATTGCCATGGCTGTCCACGTCATTGAAGTTGAGGTGGCTGCGACAGAGTCCGATGCTGTGGCGGCATCTGCCCCCCCTGGTGGTGAAACGATCTTGATCCTCTTCAAATCGCGCCCACTAGGATTGCCCACGCGTCGTGGAGGCACTCCAATACTGGCCAAGCCAACACCCGCCTCAGTGCACCTTTGCTCAAGCACAGGGTTGTCACATCCTTCCTCTTTCCCAACATGGTCGTCCACTGCTTTGTCATCCTCTCCGTGCGGTGGCGGAAAAATGGAATTTGCTTTTGCCTCCGTCATCGTGGCCGTTTGACCTGTGGGTCTTGGGCCCAACGCCCCGCCCTTTCTACTCCTCCAACCTGCGGATGTGCATCCACACACAGGGAGAAATGGTGAGTGTATATTACCGCCTGGATCCCGTTGTTAGGCTCCCTACCTCCCAAAATCGGACCCGCAGGGTGCGAAAACCGCCACGGCGCTTCCTCGCGTTTTCCCCCCCCGGCAGAGCGCGGAGACGATGGCGTCACTCCCCTGGTAGCAGCACGCTCGTAGGGGCACTAAATGTTTCACTCACCGGACACCCACGCAAGTACAGGGACCATGGGCACGCCTGTGACTTAAACTGCCTGGTGTGCGTTGCGTGCATCGTCGTCATCCTCTTTCAACACACGTCATGATTAGATGTCTTCAGCCAAGAAGCGCCCCGTGCCCCCCCCCCTTGTTGGGGAGCCCCATGGGGGTGACTTTGGTGTCTACATGCAACACAAAATACAACGTCTCCATGCCCAACTCAATGAAAAAAGCGGAGAGGAGGATGTTCCTATCAGTCGCATCTTTGAGGGCATGGTATTTTTCATCAATGGCTTCACTCCCTTGCCTGTCGAGGAGCTGCGGGCTCTAGTGCACGAGCACGGAGGACACGTTGCTGCCTACGAAACCTCCAATGTCACACACATCCTTTGTACAAATCTTCCACATGCGAAACTGAAGCAGCGTCGCGCCCAGAAGCTGGCTCGGGGCGCACATCAGCAGCTACCGGTTATTCATCCGGACTACATCTTGGCGTCAATCGAACAGGGTCGCCGGCTCCCCCCCGCAGACTTTCTTGTCGATGGCGTGAAGTACCACCACGGACAAGGTATTCAGGCATTCATGCCTCGAAGATGCGGAGATGGAGGTGCTCGTCGAGCCGCCAGTGCGCTTCACGGCCCTGCCCTCGACCTCACGACTGCCTTGGCCACAGAAGGCACTGCTTTCGCCGTCCCTGCGGATACCCCCGTGTCCAATGACGACGCAGGTTGGAATGCCAGTGAAGCACACCAAGAGTTGGAGCGCGCGACTGTCCTTGGGCCTGTGTCGCCGGCGGCCACGGCGGTGGAGGAGACGAGTCAGACCCCCCCGCGCTCTCCTAGCCCCTCCTCCTCTCCCGGGCCGTCCACCGCCCTACCGCACCGTGAAGAAAGGATGACACCACCGTACCACACTCTTGCCGGCGGCAGCAAGGCCTCGTGGAGCCCCCTATCACCGCCCTTGCCGTCTCCGTCCACGACTCCCTCCTCTCGAAGCAGACCGACGGGGCGCAGGGCGGATGGGGGCCAGAACGCCGCGGGCAGTGTCACGGGCGGGCTGCTTTCGACGAAAGAGGATCCCGATTTTATAAAGAAATACTTCAAGTCCTCTCGCTTACATTTCATCGGCAGTTTTCGGGCCCGCATGCAGGACTTGGCGGCCGAGCATGCTAGGGCTCGCCGAGCGGCCAGGGCTGTCCAGTCGTCCGAGGCGGGGGAATCTAATATGCGCCATTGCCAGCGGCGGCTGATTATGCACGTAGATATGGACTGCTACTTTGTGAGTGCCCTCGTTCGGGACCGGCCGGAATTGGCGGGAAAACCTGTGGCCGTTGCTCATGGGGAGGGGCAGGAGCGACACAGCAGCAGCGAGATCTCCTCGTGCAACTACCCGGCCAGGGCTACTGGCGTGCGGGCAGGAATGTTCGTCGGCGAGGCCCAGCGGCTCTGTCCCGGGCTAAAGGTGCTGCACTATGACTTCGAGGTCTACGAACGGGTCTCCCGGGCGATGTACCAGATCTTCTTCGAAGAGGCGGAGGTCGTGCAGCCCGTGTCCTGCGACGAGGCCTACTTGGAACTGGCAGCAGGGACGGACCCGGAGGCGGCTGCTCGCCGGGTGCGGAGGCGCTTGATGGAGGCGACGCGCTGTCCTGCCAGCGCGGGCGTGGGCAGGAACATGCTCCTGGCGCGGCTGGCCACCAAACACGCCAAGCCCAACGGGCACCACGTCATGCTCGGCGCGGAGGAGTCGATGGTGTACCTGGAGAACCTCCCAGTCCGCGAGATCCCGGGGGTGGGCTGGGAATCGGACGCCAAGCTTGAGCGTAGAGGTCTGCGGACGTGCGGTCAGTTGTGGGAGGTGCGCCTCCCGCAGTTGCAATCCTGGTTGGGGCCCAAGACGGGGAGCATGCTGTACAGGGCCTGCAGGGGGCAGGACGATCGGCCGGTGGTACCGCAAACCACGCGGAAGTCTGTGGGAGCAGAGGTGAACTGGGGAGTGCGGTTCTCGCAGGAGGAGCAGGTTGAGGTGTTCGTGGACAGGCTGGCGGTCGAGGTCGCGCAGCGCTTGGCCCAGGCAAAAGTGCAGGCCCGACACCTCACCTTCAAGATCAAGCGGAGCCAGTACGGTCCCAACGAACCGGAAAAGCTCCTGGGCTGTGGTCGCTGCGATAATTTGAGCCGATCGGTGGCCTTGGCCCGGCCCACTGACGGGCCTGCGGACATTGCCGCGGTCTCTCTCCGGCTTCTGGCCCAGCTTCAAGTCCCGCCCGCCTTGATCCGAGGGTTGGGCATCCAGCTTTCGAATCTGTTGGTGGACGGGCAAGCCGGCGTACCTGACAAGAAGGGCGCTGGAAGTATGCAGGCCTGGCTTCAGAAGACGGATGATCTCAGTGGCGTAGGC